AACCTCTGATACCTTTGCGTTTTTTATATTTTTCCAGAAGAAGGCATCATAAGAAACCATATCGTTGAACATCCGCCAAAGTCTTAGCTCGGTAACTTAAGGGAAGCCCAGAGGGGGAAGGGTCCCATGATGTGCGACATAAAGCCCCCTGCCACGAATTTAACTATGTAGAAACTGTCAGATAGATTATATAGTATCCAGCTAATAGTAATACCTGGTGTTACAACGAATTTGAGGCCAGCGGTACGTTCACGTGGTGGGGTTCAGTCCCCTCTCGTCAACATATATATTGTAGTGTTCGCGCGTAAAGCTTCTTTATATTACGTAGTTTGGTGTTGTTTGTCTTTAAGCTGCGTCTCGCGTTATTTAATGATCCAAACCGTCAGGTGTATTTTATGTTTTCATTTCGCCAGGTTTATATCGTTTATTATTTTGTTTATGCCATTTATTTTCCGTACATAGACTTAGTGTAATTTAATTTTGTTATAGAAACCACTGGTCGAGAAATAAACGTATATGGTTCGGATAGCCATTGGGTGATCTTACCGGTGCGTACGTTACACCTGGCATTTCTAGTGGTCTTAGCTTGCGAACTGAAATGGCATGGTTTGAAAAGCAAATCACATTTAAGAAAGTTTACAATTGCCTTAAAAGTTTTATCTACAGTACGAAAGGTGGAGGAAGGCAACCACATGAAAAAAACGCTTTTGTCGATCGAGGCGGCGTGGAATAATTTTTTGGCACATGTATTTGGCAGTAACTTTTCAGTCAATTGTTTTTTGCCATTAGCAGTTCGAATCAAGCTTCAAAATAACTATGACGTTTAAAAAAAATAAAATCAAGGGGTTTTGCTATTCGGGAAACGAAGTCAAAGGCAACGACCCTAAAGAAGAAATAACGGTAAATATTTCTTTAAGTGGCCATAACAGTAACACAGACGACGATAGTGACAGTGCTGGTATGTAATAGACCCAAGAATAATAGGTCACTGCGTAAAGTCAGGTCCTTGTGCACCTTTCTTTTGCCTCATCTATCTCTTAATTAAGACATGGTGTCCTCGGTATTTGTTGACTTCTCTAGAGTCCCAATCGATAGTGCGGTTGGCCTTGTTATGGATTATGTCAGGATGAGCACCTATTTATTTTCATAAAAAAGGAAATTTGAAAAAGGAAGTGAAGATTAGAATAAAGTACCTTAAATTAGTAAAGATGACGACGACGGCGAAATTAACTTACATCATTCCCAAATGGTTTTGATTGCAAGACAAATGTTTCTTTGTTTTTTTCCTTTTTTTTTATTAATTTGAAATTCAACTGATTTGGTAGTTTTCGGAGTTGTTGATATCTCTTGTTATTAAGGAAGTTTGAGGTGCACTAAATACGTCACAAACGACATGAGGCAGTCGTTACACATTCCTTTTTATTGAAATCAAAGACCATCATAATTCAAATGCATATAAAAGCTTCCAATCCACCTGTTATGCCTTTACAGCGCATTCATATCAATGCAAATGAATGCAGCGATAACAAAAAGAAGCGTTTTATTTCCTTCAAATTAGAGTATCCTTTTCAAGCCTGCAAGATAAAAATCCCAGGTGTTAAACAATGTTCCCTCGAGTATATACAAGAGAGGTACTATTTCTTTTAATTTTTGAAAAAATAAACGATTATGAGCTTTCTATTAAGGTAATAACCAGCATGTAAAGCAAGTTAAAGTGAAAAAGACCTTCAGGTGTTTTTATATATATACTATAATCTTTAATGAAAATTGTTTGGAGTTAACGAAAGAAGTGATCATTTCTTAGGCAAAGACTCATTAATGACGACAACAGAAATTTACTTTGGCGGGCTCATTCACTTAAGAACTTAGTGAAGAATTAATTTTGATCCAGTGTTCTTCCAGGAAGCAAAGGACAAAGTGGATAGTTTTTTCTTCAATTACTTTTTACATTAAGACTGTGTTCACAATGTATGGCAGAGGGAATAGGGCAGCTTTATTAAATTTTAATTGACAACAAATTAGCTGATCATCATTAATCATCTTCAAAGATTAAAACCCCTACACCAAGAAAGACTAAAATCTTCGCAACTCCCAATTTTAATATAAAAATGTTCCTGTTTCCCTATGGATTTTTTCTACATATATTTGATCGCACTGATTTTTACTGCACCCTTCCATCATACATGATGAATATTGAATTCTCAAACAAAACACAGGTTGCTCTGTAATTTATACTTCCCAGATGTTTCAATTTATTATATCCATTTTGAAATCACCATGAGATCCTGTAATTTGACTGGTTCAAATTGTACGATTCGAGCACGAATCCCACTATTTTCGGTCTGAATCGCATCTTTTTGTTAGCAAAACAAAATTCAACACTACATTTAGACGACCAATCACATTGCAGGATTGTATGCAGTTTGCCAATCAGATTAGAGCAAATAATGTACACAAAATGAAATATTTTTCAAATTTTATTTCCTATGTTTGACATTGCTACTACTCTCTAAAGTGAACAAAGTGGAGCTTCATATACATAAATCCAGAAAATGTTCAGTGTCGTACAATTTCGGTCTGATATCAAACTTTTAATTTTATATCACACTCCTACTATGCCATCATGTGAGTTTGTTCACTTGTGTTTGATATCAGGTAAAGTTGCATTCCACTCAGTTCAATGACCATTATTTTTTTGTTTAGGCAAAGTATAAACATTCCCAATAAAATATAAATAACACAATAACTTCACTATGGCTCATTGTTACTATTAGATAAGATTAGTGGGCCCTGGAAATTTGTAAGGAAGCAGGCTATAGTCTATGACTGATTGACTGAACCCAACTTAGACGATGGCACATCAAAATAAAAAAAAGTGGTATCCTTTGACCCTCCTTATTGCTCTTTCAACATGTATTCTCAAACTTGCTATTGTCTTTGTTTTCTGAACATCCTGGGCAGAGAATTGTTCCAGACTTTCTAGAAACGGATGGATATTTAGCTCCACCCCCTTCTTCCTCGGCAAATCTTCAATGTCAAACCCTTTGTCGTAGAAGTAGAAGTGTTTTTTATTCCTATATTAAAAAATAGCATATTTCTTTCAGATCAAAATAGACTTCGGGAACTTTCGCTGGCTTTAATTAATGTACTAGCCGTTTAGCGGCTAAACTGGATGCTAGGTTTATTGCATTTATTGAAGGAAAGAGTCGCAACAGGGAACGTAGAAAGATGAGACCCTCCCCTCCCTCCCTTTCACTGTGCACAAGATCTTTATAAATCTGATATGATAAAAGAAACACTAGAAATAAAATGGAGTTTTGATAACCAGAAGCCCTTTACAGAGTCCTTAAGTGTAGAGTGTAGGATACCTGTATAGAGGAAATGACTCAATTTAAGTGCAAAAATATGGATTTCCCATTAGTAAGCTTTCTTATTTGATAGCCCTACTATATTTATATGTGCAAATAATAAAATGGCAGAGAGTATATCATACCTGGTGTCTGTGTAACCCTACCAGCATAACTAATAAATTGAGGAACGGTTAGTGTGGAATTTGACTTGTTGCTAGTTAGGAAGTATGCCAGAAAAGCTGTTGACCTGATATAAAATCCTTCGGATCCTGTGAGAGAAGCGGGATCAATTTGTATCGAAATGCGACGTAAGATAGGATAATCAAACCCAGAAACCCAGACCACAGTTGTGGGAGATGAGCGCACTCGCCAAAGTGCAACCCCTGCTTAAATCAACTATATAAACAGTCCCTAGCTTCCTTATGATTATCAACTGTTTAATTTTCATCCACGACGGTAATAACGACGTCTAAACCATGGGTGTACTGCCCGAGGGACTAGACGTGGGAGTCTACATCTGAACCGCGATAATGAATCCGATGATTTCTTCAATACGTTTAAAATATATTATTCCCCCGACATCTTCAACGTCTTCTTCATCATCGTTGTAAGCTTCTCGTTCGTTTTCATTGAGGCCATCATCTTTAACATTCTAATCTAAGTAACTTAAAATGAGGAAACTATTGTAAGCTTTTCCGATTTTCAACTTTTAGCCAGTGCGTCATTTTTTCTCTTTGACGAGGCCAAGTGCACTTATCGTTAGGTCTAGGTAGAACGGCAGTGATTTGTGCATGGCGTCAGCTGCAAAAGTCCAATATTACAAATGGCTGTATTTATTGAAATTAGCTAGAGTGTCAAGCATATTACAGGTAAACCGAAGCCCAATTAATTGCATGAAAGCCAAAGTGTCTAGAAATTTAAACTTTTCTTTTGTGTTTGATTTTTTTGTACTTAGTTGCTACAATCAGTGTAAGATTCTTTACGCCAACCAAAGCCGTATCTAAAGCTGAACATAAATATGGGCGCCCAAACTAAGCAAATTTCTATCACCCCTATTTAAGGAAAATTCGACCGGGCTGAAAGAGCCCTGCGAAACTTAATGCGACTGGGAGATTGAACAGGTGATCCTATACTTATTATCTGAAAGTATCTTCGAACTCCGATTCTAAGTTTGTTGTAGATTCTTTTAACACTGGCGAATCTCCTTCATGTTCATGGTTGGTGAAAGATACACCAAAGCTGGTGGCAAAAGCCGATCCAAAAACGGCGATAAGGAGAGATTTATTCATAACGAAGTCTTCTTTAGCTCTGGCTTGATAACAAAGGTAAAGGTGCATTTTATGTCTTTAGAGCATATATTGTATCCTGGGTATCTGATGACTTGGAGTGCATGAGAAGGATGTTTTTTTTTCCTCCTAAGCACCGCCTTACCTCACCCGAACACTTCTAGGTAATTTAGACCAAGATACACTGCGCCTATCCCTGTCGCTTTTTCATGATATTTTTGAGGAATCAGCTTCGATCATTTTATACCCCCTTGCAGCGTTTCCCAATATATTTTTAGGCATGGCAGAACATTTGACTAGGAATGATAATTTTGATGCATCATAAATGGCTTTTGGTAAATGTTTATTAAAGATAGCCGTCAGATTTCATTCTATCTAAGTAACATTTTAATCGAGTCTCACATGATACACACTTGTCAAATCCTATTCTTGCCTTTTTTTCGATGTCACTATAACCTTTATTAAGAGAGCTTATTAAAGTCGTTCCGTCTGTAAATACGAAACTACGGATATTCGAAATTAATCGTCTGGCTGCGATGTGCATAAAATGTCTATCTTTCATATTTAAACGAAATAAATGATTGATGAGCTTTGCTACGGTTTCATAAGCTATAAGACTTATCGAGCTATGAACTGCTCTATTGACTCGAACTGAATCCTCTCACTCAAGTCGAGTAAGACTGCTGATTCATTAAATTACTCTTAAAAAACGACAACGACTTCCAGCGCTCCACGAACAACCCAATTTCTGAATTAACGAATGGTCCACTGACCGAGCAGAAAGACGAATTGAAACAGATCAATTGCGACTGAGGAGGAATTATCGTCGCTTAAATAGTGCGACATAACAATCAGCTATCACCCGCTGCCTACTGAATCTATTTACTTATATGTATTCCTATTTCAACTCATATCTTCTGAAAGAGTGCAATTTAATCGCCCACACTGGATCACCGTCACACGGATGGATCTTTGCACTCTTTTTGGCTGAGTTTTTGTTGTTCGGAGAAAGGGAAACAACGTTCATTCTCCCTCTCAAATGAGCTCTGATCTGACCAACTCGTTTCGTGATCCTTTTTCCTTTTAGTCGCTCCATAATCTGTAAATAGGCAAATAAACATAACGTGACATGTGTCAGTTTCTCTCTTTAAAATCGTTATCCAACGGTGTAAAATTCATGATTTGTTATTATAATTATTGTTATTATGATGATGATAATAATGATGATGATAATGATGATCATCATTATTATCATAATTATTATTATTATTTTAAATTATTGCTCTTACCTGACTATTTCGCACACAGTGCAGGGTAAAAATCAGGACACCCTGTAATAAAAGTGTAAATACTGATAACAAGTAATGTATGAATAAAGATAGGTATAGAGATCTTTGCTGAACGAAGCTTTAATTAACTCAAATGATCTTAACATGTCAGACCGTCCTGCGTATGAGAACAGTGAACTAGAACAAAAAGATATGGCGATTTTTTCTTTCATGGATTGACGAACCGAAGGAATGACTCATTAGCTGAAGGGCTAACTGGCTATCAAATTGACCTAATGACTGAATGATTGATTAATTGTTGGAGAGAACCATGAACTGACTAAATGTTTGACAGTCTGATATCTTGATAGACTGAGGAAAAATGGATTTATTGATTTTTGTCTTATTTTAACCCTCTCATTTGTTTAGTTGAGAATTCACCCGAATTTTATCGAGGAAATACACAACAAACCTGCATAGAGTTGAGAATGGTGAAAATGTAGGTAAAAGTCTTGTGTAGTGGCGATAGAATACCAAACGACCAAGTGATACCCAGAAGGGGAATCATGACCACGCATCTTCTGATGCCAAGTCTAAAGGACGAAAAATGATAGTAATTTCCAGATGACAGGTAACTTTGCCTCTTACTGAAAATCAAATTGATAACCTGTTATGTCAACTGCAATTGGTACAACATGCAGGGGGGTGGAGGGGGGGGGGGGTGACCGCATCTAACATGGAGGATTTTTGCACGAGGTTTTTCACTTTTTCTACTATAATTATTGGCTTGTCATGGGAACAGTTGCCATCGAGCTGGAAAAGAAAATAGAAAATGTTAGTTTCATGTGGACACTTTGAGACGGCTTAGATACAATCAGCCGCTGACCTCATGGACTGTTATTCTTTTTTTCTTTGTTGTTGAGTTGGAGGAGAAAAGCACATGGCACGTTTGTATTTTGTTTTTCCTTAGTTTATCTACTTTCTCCGTTATCTGGGTACGGAAAACTTTGAATCGTTCTTTTGGTCGTTGAATAGCCTGTTAGTTAATTATTTGTTAGTTTGAATGAAACAACGATACAATCAAACGCATGTCATGAGTTTGATTGTCCTTGATAACGGAATAGAGATATTGGGTCTCTACAGAAAATAAGAATCAGAAAGTAGATCATTGGATTACCAACAACAACAACAACAACAACCTTTATTTATGTGTCAAATCTAAAATAGCAGTTATACAACCACTAACTGGGGACACTAAATACTACCTAAAAATTTGAGAAATTTAAAAATAAAACAATATATATGTACAATTTAAAATCTAACCTAAGTCTTACATAAAAGGCAGTTTTCACATTTACTATCAGTCAATTTAGAAACAAGGTCTATTCTACGTATGTTACATTTAAAAGATGATATGGATGTCAGTTCTCTTACATTTCTTGGTACAATTGCCCATATTTTGGGTCCCATATATCTAAGCGAATGTTTTCCAAAAGTGACAGTATTAAATCTAGGTATACCAAAATCATTATTACGCAGTGTGTACCTAAGTTGTGGAATTTGAAAAAGGCTACATATGTAATTAGGAGATAAATTGTTCTTTACCTTATACATAAGAATGGCTATATCCTGTAGTCTTCTGTTCTGCAGTGTACTTAGGTTAGCCATGTCTAATAATTTATCATAACTACTCCCCTTATCACAGTAAACTTCCCTAAGTGCCCTTTCTTGAATACGTTCCAATTTTCTAGTATCACTCGCCCTACAAAAATGCCAGACAAGATGGCTGTATGTTAAATACGGAAGAATGGCTGCCTTAAACAACTTCAGCTTGGTGTCTGTTGGTATCATATTCCTGAGCCTCATCAGGACTCCAACACGCTGGCTACTCCTCTTACAAATGTTAGCAATGTGTTCATCAAATTGAAGCCTATTGTCTATATATACCCCAAGAAGTTTTAAACACTTGGTAGATTTAACTTCATTGTCATCAATTATAATACTATCCATATCATTATTTTTATTCCCAAGTGTCATTGTCTGATACTTGTCATAGTTCCCTTTTAAGAAATTCGATCTATACCATCTGGAGGCTAATTCGGCACTTGCTATTAACTTATCATGCACCTCAGTAACATTACTGCCTGCAGCATGGAACTGGTGGTCGTCTGCATACATATTGATATTAGAATTAGAATTTACACTGTATGTCAGATCATTTTGGAACATGTTCCATATCAATGGTCCAAATGCGGAGCCCTGTGGACATCCCCTTGACCCCCTCTCCCACTCACTCACTGTGGATCCCAACTTCACCCTATTGTACCGATCAGTGAAGTAGGAGTCCAACAATTTTAGACTGTTCCCCCGAATACCATAAGCCTTTAATTTAGCAAGTGTGAGTGGATAGTAGAGGGAATCAAAGGCTTTACTCATGTCCGTAGAAAGAACACCTACCACTTTATGTTCATCTAAAGATATCTTCCAATTCTCTGTCATAGCCAGTAGAGCTGTTTCGCAGCTATGATTTTTCCTGTAGGCTGTCAGTTTATCACATAATTTATCATTGAAACTATAATTAAGCTGTTTACTAAGTAACTGTTCAAAAATCTTATTTATAGTAACTTGTACAGTTATGGGCCTATAGTTCTTTTTCTCATGGGGGTCCTCTTTCTTAAATACTGGTGTCCACTCTCCTTTCTTCCACACCGCAGGCCACTCACCCAATGTTATACATGAATTGTATAATGCTGTCAGAGGCCCTGATAGTTCTCTAGCACCCAGCTTAAATGCTTTGGGGGGGACACCATCCCAACCAGTACTCTTTCTGGGGTTAATACTTTCCAGTGCGGTCTCCACCTCAAGTATCTCCAGATTCCGAAACTGGAAGTCTTGATGGCCTATCATATTCTCTGTGATATTCCGAACACTTGAATGAGTCACAAAAGAAGAGTCAGTAATGCCTTCTGTGTCACCAATACCATCAGCAATGGTAGAAAAATAGTGACATAGATGATTTGCAATCTTACTTTGATCATGACTTATCGCTCCTTCAATGTTTAAGCTCAACTCATTAGTGGTACCCTTATTCCTCTTTTCACTCAAGAAGGGCATAAATGTTTTATAGAACTCACCAGGCTTACATTTCAATTTAGTAGTTTGATCTTTCCAATACTCCCTTATCGCCTTTCTCCTGAGTCTAGTGGCCTCGTTTCTTGCTTTACGTTTAGCCTCCCAATTCTCTCTGTTTTGCACCTTCAGATNCTTCACCCCTCACCCTCCCTCACAAACAATGCTCATCACTATTACTCAGATTGCAAGATAATGAATCAAAGAAAGTGATTTTCTCTCTTCGTGATTTTAACTCAATTGTACCGGACTCGCTGAATCTTGGTGGTTCCTGTTTGTGGCAATGTGGTCAACTCCCGTATTACACGTGCGAGTATAAAACTGCTGAACTAAAAAAACAAAACAAAAAATAAACAAGATGAGAACCGTAATGGAGCAATGTGCATGTGTTATCGGTCAAGTATCTTATACAACGGTTACAATTTGATATTTAATTTAAAAATTTGATTGCAAACTTACCACCGCAGTTGCTGTCAGAAATGCAACAAATATCCACATCAAGTCATAAGTTGACGATAACCAACAACTAAAGAAGACGGAAAGAGGAAAAAAGTAAACTAAAGGAGCCAGAAATAAAGCTAACATCAAATCTTAAAAGCAAGTCAAATCAAAATGAAATCACAATTGAAAATGAAAAAAAATAAATAAATAGCGGTAAAACAAACTTAAAAGAAAATGGAAAGACAAAGAAATGTTTAAAGGAATGTGAACAAGTAGTTTGCTATACTGCCTATAAGAGGGAAATGTATTTAAAAAGATATATTTGAAGACTGAAAAGGAGTGTAGGAGAAAGGATGAAAGAAGAAATGAGCTACTTATATTATATAAGAAAAAGGGCAGGTGTGGGCAAGACGGAAAATAGATAAAAGGGAAATAAAAACTAAAGTAAACCCAAATCAAAGAAAAAGCAAAACACGTAGAGATAGCAAAAGGGGAGGAATCAATGAGCGTAAACTGTGTTTCTTACTATTTATCGCTGGTATAGCTTTGGATCCCTCCTTTTCCGATTGCGACGCCGAGAGGAATGCCGACAAAGATGATGGGGAAACCTTCACACGAAGAAACAGAGAAGGTCAAACTTCGCATGAAATCATATTATTAATAAACCGACTCGAAATTAGGCAGATCATTACTGAAAACAATAGGTAGTAATTATCGATTAAAGAAGAATACCCCATGCCATGACGTGATATACTATCATCTTATTGCTGATGTTGTAAACTTTAACAATAAACAAGTAAAAGTAGATTCCTTCCACCAGCATCCAGCAGAAAGCGGCCAACAAGAGATACTGCGTAAGAACTGCTGCTGTTATGCAAACGATCTGCAGAAAAGGTAAAAAGAGTTTTTCATCTATTTTCTTTTTAGAAACTTCGAAAACAGAAACAAACACAAAAACTACACTCACAGGGTTACCCATGGCGTGCATTCCGGCGAGAAAGCTTATTTGACCAGCTCCGAGCGACGCGGCGAGACTCAGTCTTATTTGAGTCAGAGGCTGATGAATATCTCTGGTTTAAGAAATAAAATACTTGCAGTGATTTATGTACATCTTTGTTAGTTTGAACCAATCAAAGGCCTAACAAACTAGACGATGTTTACTCACGTGAAAAGGGAATACATGGTTATGGTTAAAATCATTCCGATGATTGAAAGGCTCAATCCTACGTAAGTGATAATCTCGAGAATATCTTCGTCCTTCTGTGAAAGCTGAAGAACAAATCAGAAACATGGAATAGGATGTTTATCAATTTAATGCAGTTATGAGCAATGCTAGAAGCAATATTGAACAACGTAATACCACGTGCACACTGCCACCACTGTAGTCTACTAAGACAGCAAAATGAGTCAAATGACTGCAGCTGCAGACTGTTTCTTCTGAGTTGCTTTGTGATGTAACTAAACGACATCCATCCTCCGAAAATCCATCTCGACTGAAAAAAGAACGAGAACTTTAAACCAAGAATACTTATGTAATACACAATCTATATAATCAAACCTTTAATACCTTTTATTTCCCTTTACTGAGATTATCATTTAAGCTGGTTGGATATCTTAGACTGAAGTCAGAGGCAGTAAGCATCATCGATTTACCTATTTCCGACGTAACCTATTTGCATGTTTTTCGTGTCACGTTTGGCTTTTGACTTCGATGGTTTTTGTCTCTATCAGTCAGAACAAAGGGTATTTTGAAGCTATAAGCTAAAGAAAACGAGAGAAACTTTCAAAACGCGTCTCCTCTCATTGATATCTTGTAAACACTTATCGGTCAGACTTCTGCTCAGGTTGTTGAGACGTTAGACCATACTTCTTTTCAAGACTTCTATTACCAGTTGGACTGTTACAAAAAGGAGTGATCAATGGTATTCAGTCCTCTCGGGAATTCAAAATTCAATAAATTCAGAAAAAAGAGCAAGCAAAAATCGGTAATTTTTTTTTGTTTTTAGTTGTTGTCCTGTTTTACCTATTGCTGAGGCCACTCCAGAACACGCAATGCTTCTCTCTTGTGTCGATCTGAAAAATAATAGATTTAAGCTGGATCTCGTTCAACTGAGCCTGATAATAAAGTAATTGAAACTGAAACTGATCTGAATTGATTCGATTGAATTTGACTTTGCTTTTTTGTCACCTTCAAGTTTTTAAACTTCAAGATTACATTCTCTTGCATCTTTCCTGGTTTGGGATCCATAGCTGCCATTATAATTCTAGTTAACACACGCCTAAGTAATCAGAAAAAAAACAAATTGCTTGAAGAGTGAAAGAAAAACGCTCACAAAATCCCTGGAGGGGTCCTTAAATGATACTAATCATAATAAGATCCCTTGGCAAGGCCTCTGAGTCCAATCCACACCTAAAGGGCCGACAAAATCCAAGAAAAGGGTCTTTGAATGATCAATTAGTAAGGAACCCTCCAGGGATTTTTTTGCTAATTTGCCCTTTCGGGCTTCAAAGGCCTTGATTTGGGATTTTGTTACGGTTTACAGTTGTAGTTAAAAGTGGGCCTTCCCTTTTTTAATGCTTGCCGCATTGCTTCTTTGTAATTGGTTTCGCCACTCGTATTAACATATTTAGAGTTCTCTTCTCTTAGTCTTAAGGGTTTGTTCTTGTATTTTGTCCATTGCTTTCTTTGTAATTAGGTTTTTTGTTATCTTTTTTCAGCACCAATTTATTAGTCGTTATCTGTAATTACGTAATCATTAGCACCTCGATCCTATTTAATGCTCTTTTTTTATTTCAAAAGTTGTAAATAACTGAAGAAGGTCTCTGACCGAGACGTTTTTTATTAAAAATTTTTATATTTTTTACGTCAGAAGTTGTCNTGCTCAATGAAAATAATATGCGGAACAAAATAATGATTTGAAGCTCTCCCTCCCCCTCTCTCTTTGCCTTGATCTTGTGGGTAGGGGAGATACATACCTATAAATGTGGGGGTAGAGTCTACCTTGGCATTAAGTGCTCAATGCTGTGTTAGCAGAGCTGAGTATATATTAGTTAAAGAATCAAAGAGGACGCATCGATTATCTGTAACTCTGAGATTCGCCCCATGCGTCAACTTTGATTCTTTAACTAATGCATATATATATATATGCCATTCACGTACCTTGTTTTGTCAAAATTTGGTTGGAGTAAATTATGTAGATCCTTGTACACACACACAACTATTACTGATCCTAAAAGAGAGCAAAGCAAGCTTACGTGTAGCTTAGATGTCGGCTGATGTAAATTTGAAAAGATTGTGTTTTATTAAGAATGGTATACAAGAAAGTGCGACGAGTTACTTACGATAAAAGATAACGGCGGTGTATACAAACCGTTATCTGCAAAATTTGCAGAGGAAATATTGATATAGGCTTGCCATTCATGATTCTCTAATTGGAAGTCACTTGCATTTTGTTTGTAGTCTTTTTGAATAACAAGGACTGCGAAAGAATGGAAAAAAATAATGTTAATGTAATAGCGATAGACAGATTTGCGAAATTAACAAATAAAATTCATTCGGTTATATTTCCACCAAAAAATCAGGTACTTATTCAATCCCCAAGCAAGTTAGAGAGACGATCAGTCACTCTGTCAGCCAGCCATTTAGTCCGCGGACTAGTAAGTTATCCAGTTATTCACTCTCTCAATCGCTCACTCAGTTACTGAATAAATGATCATTATCACAAATCTGAAAATACAACCATGTATCTACTTACGCATGTTGCGGTGAGGGTAACTGATCCTTTTTGAACGGTTTGTTTCACGTAAATGGTATTTGCCATACCTAAGAACAATTTTCTCGAAGGCAACTGCCACCTTAAAAATGGACTCCGTTCTGAGCTTTTCTACTCCAGGCTGTCCTGCTCCAGGTTTCATGCTTTGATGTTTAGTGGTGAAGTTTTCAAACAAATTAGCAGCTGCCTGTTGGTCCATAAAATACACAATATTCAGGTTTTTAACGTTACCCAGGCTAATCACAATAAGACGTAAATTAATTCAGTGTGATACTTGGCAAAGGCAGCATTAACAGGCGCCTGCGATTTAAAAGCAACAACAATTAAAAAAACAGTAATACCGCATAGGATATTTTCGTTTGATCAAATTTTTGTCTATATATAAGTTTCAAATGGTTCTCTGAGAGTAAGGCTTTTACCATTAAAAGAAAAAAAGGAAAAGATCACCGACAAAAAAAATCTGGGTTATCGTCTTTGCGTGGATATTTTTTGCTCTTACATGTCAGCTGCTTTTTCGTTATACATTTACATTAAAAGACGTATTTTAAATTAGGTGTTGAAACTACATACCTGCAAGGAACTGTTGCCGGTAATATTTAGGCTGCTGAACTTTGAAATAGTATCATTTGCCTAAAACGAAGAAAATTGCATCGAGGTTCATGAACCACAAAAAGCACTGAAAAACAGGAAAAAAGTATAATTACATTTAAAGTGCGTAGATAAGAAAAATTACCAGCTCATGAAATTGTGACGGTGACGCTGAAGATAATTTTTGTTCCAATGATAATATTGATGACGATGATGTTGGAGAAAGCATTTCTGCTGCCACAGATAATGCTAATGACGATGATGGTGTTATTAATGTTGCTACTCTTGATGCTACTGATGCTAATGACGACAATGCTTTAAGTGACAACGTTGGAGCTGGTGAAACTATTGACGACGAGGTTGTCGGTGCCAATGCTGTTTCTGATGATACCATTTGTGACGGTGAGGCCGAAGATAATTTTTGTACCGATGATAACATTGATGACGATGATGTTGGAGACAGTTTTTCTGTCGCCACTGATAATGCTAATGACGATGATGGTTTTATTAATGTTCCTACTCTTGATGCCACTGATGCTATTGACGACAATGCTTTAAGTGACAACGTTGGAGCTGGTGAAACTATTGACGACGAGGTTGTCGGTGCTAACGCTGTTTGTGATGATACTATCTGTGACGATGATGCTGAAGATAATTTTTGTACAGATGGTAATATTGATGACGATGATGTTGGAGAAAGTTTTCCTGCTGCCGATGATAATGCCGATGACGATGATGCTGTTATTTGGGTTGCTACTCTGGATGACACCAATGACGAGGATCTTGGTGATGATGCTGGTGATGATGATACTTTTAATGACGGTGATGCTGATGGTAATGTAAAAAAATCATCAAGGCTTAATTGTGTAAATCTGTGTCCAACAAACAAGGTCATGTATTGCTCAGTACAGGTTATTCAGAAAGCTCATAAAGCATCTTTCACATATAGTTAAACTATATAGCTGTACTATGAAAAATGTGGGAAGGAATTTTTAGCATTTTTATTTATCAAAAACCTTATTTCTATAATGATAAAACGATTTCCTAGCTACTTCAGTTCTGATAGTGAGTTGATGTGAGAAATTTTTTTGGATACTCGAGTTTCGCGGCAGTTTAGACAAACTTTTCCACCGGATCAGATTATTGAGAATTTTGAATTTTTCTATAACCAACTATCACAATTAGAAGAGAAACGATCTATTTTACGCAACATACTTTAATACGATTTCTAGTTACTACATTAGGTTTAAGTTTCTCAGAATTTTTCTCTCAGATTGCAGTTAAAAAAGTTTGATGTTATTATGTTGTGATATAATAATGCATAACTCAAAATTTGTGGACTGTTTAGATTTAGTATTGTTTTTGTGATACCAACCAGTTTTCCTTCCTTCATTGCTCTGCGAGGACGTTGTCTCTGTGCATGTAAATTCGACAAGCGCACCAGCTTTAATAGTTTTCCGGTTGTTAGCTTCATCACAACTGATTGTTTGTTTATTCTCTTTTAGATCACATTTGGGGCACGTAGTTTCAGCTTGACATGCTGTTGACTTCCTGCATGTCCATTTTTCGCGCTGGCCTTTCGACGTGAGAGCCTTGCCCATATCACTTAGGTGACAATAACATTCAACCAATTGGTCATTCGGTGTTTGTGGTGTGCATATTATACTAATAATTCTCCGCGAGGTCTGTGGAGAATTTTGGCCACCTTCTGAGGACACCTCTGAAAAGGAATTGCAAGGAGCTGAGAACGCAATCATGAATCACTTGAAAAAAGAAAAAACGAAGACAAATTAAATTAAACAAACAGATTAGACTGAGCAAAACACACACACACATACACACACATAACACGTACGCTAACACGTACGCTAGTCATACCATAGTAAATAATTCAAATACTCAGCAAAGAAATTGGAAACTATAACAGCTATTGGAATAGTAAACGAAAGAAATTAATGTTCTTCAGAAATTTAGAATTTGGACTTATGAAATGTCAATATGCGAATAAATACACGAACAAAATTTAAAGCATTAGACGCGTTCACGTTAGAACAGTATGAGTGTAAAATTATACTGTAATACCCAATGTAAATTATGGGACTTTGTATAACGAGGATTGAGGACTGCGGACGGTGCTCAATGAAAATAATATGCGGAACAAAATAATGATTTGAAGCTCTCCCTCCCCCTCTCTCTTTGCCTTGATCTTGTGGGTAGGGGAGGATCCCGCTTCCTTTCGGGATCTGATATTAGCCTTTTACATAGTGTTAAGATTTCAGTTCAGAGGACAGGGGAAGTAGGAAAGTAATTTGCGCTTTCATAGCAGTACTTCGAGCTTCTGGGTTTGACAGCTATCTTTTACTAAGTAGTATTCTATGCCCTGGTTTATGCAATCTAGGCTGACCGATCAACAGCTTGAGGTACCAAGGAAACTAATTCCAGTTTACAACCTTCCGTAAAATGAAGATAAAACGTTTTCGCAATGTTAGAAACCGTTCCGAACATTTTCTGACAAGTTTCTAGAAGGGGATGATGTTTCCAAAAATTTCGTAGTCATCTTTAATGTTTTCTTTATCTACTTATTTATCTATTTATTTGCACTTTACTTTCATTGCAGACTGTCTCCCTTCCGCCGCCCTACGCGTCCATCCTCATTTTACAGATACTTGAAATTATAATCTTTTCAAAGCTATTTAATCCCTTTTCTTTTTACATTCATCTTTATTTGCGGGGTGAGCGCTTGTGTTTATGTTCAGTACCTCTACATAACCCGTGGTTTTCACCGTTTAAACCCTCAGAGAAAGCAGCATTTTTTTTCTACTTGAAATAATAACACATTATCATAAAATTGTCATTTCCGTCCTTTGAACAACTGGGCAGTGGCGTGGATGACTCTTCAGTACGGTTTCATTTGGTTAGAGGCTTCGAGAAATAATACTACCAAAAATAGATTCTGATAGAGTCTAAAGTTAAAGCTATGGAATTCGACTTAATGTTTTGTTTCAGAAAACAAATGCAAAAGCAAACAGAAACAGAACGTTGTACTTACTCAGCGCAGAAATTGTTAACAGGGATATACAAATTTCAGGGTATAAATTTCTAATCAGCATCGTGACCAACCTGACTCTAGATTACAGTGTGTATTTAAGCAAGTTTTGTTGTCGATGTTATTTGATAGAAATACGTATGCTTCTGAGCGGTTTCCTTCCCAAGGAATTCCAAAATATTTCTCTAAAGGTACAGGGCAATGCAAATATCTGGGTCGACGATTATCACCGTACCGACCAAATTCGGCAAAATTTTATTTAAAACGGACCAGTGAGAGCTGAGACTCTCATTACCAGGTGTTAACCATTGTTGTCTCGACGAATAAAAAGGTAACATTTCCGGCATGAAAATTGCCGATGTTTTAAAATTTCACAAAGCAGCAAAAACTCGTGCACGTTTCCTTTTATCCTTATAAACTGAAAGCTTTATTTGGGTAACCGTTTTTCTAAACGTTAAGTTGCGTTATGCAAATTCTAGGATAATTAAAGTTTCCCATCTGTTTCTTTTTGGAAACTTCTGGTTAAACACTATTGGTTAACACACATATCAAAAGTCTTCCGCCTGACGTAAAGTTTCATGATCTTTCCTCAGCTGTAATTTTCTAAATGACTTCTGTTTACTTGGCATTCAGCAACAATCTCTTCAAGATTTGAATTTCACCCTTCGCCCCGCTAAGCTACCTTTTTCCGGAGTGTTGCATTATTAAAACTAACAACTCTGCGCCTCGAACATGAGGCAAAATTGGCTACTGAGGGTAATCTGATGCAAATATGCTCTAGGGCTTTTGAACTGCTTCTGAGATAGCACCAGCATTAATAATTAAATAAGCAACAAACAAAATATTAACAACCCTGGCGGAAAGACATAACCTGCCACATAAAATGCAGGGAGTCCTGACAAGGTCTCACCATCATTTTGATCGAAGACCGTACTGTAGTTATGCGTTTTTATGTTATTTTACCTTTACACCTTATGTTATTATGTTATGTTTTATGTTATTTTACCAGTATCATAGAAGAAGGCTACAGAGCGCGAGCCTCAACAATAAAATCAACAGCTGTTATTAACATGAAAAACACTCTTCGTCACGAGTTTGATGCCCAAGCGTTTTTACTGTAGTTCACCCATTCCTCCGCCCTAGCCCCCCCTCTCTGATGCACACACGTCGAGACTCGGTTAGTTTCCTGGGCATAGCATTTCCATAGATATAGCACCCGAAGTGTGATAAGAGGAATTTGTGAATGTAAACATGCAAATATAAGAATTGACCTAACCATTACGATCATTTTCGTGCACCATGAACCCAAATGTTTGGCTGTTAATTTAGTTTCTTCCAACGATATATCTTTCGTTCTGCTTCGACTTCACAAATGAATAAAGTTGGGCGATTATTTCGAATAAGCCATTACTTCATTAAAAGAAATGATCGCGAGAAAAGGGATTGCACTTGAAGCCAAGGCTTTGTCGTAGAATGGTATGGGGTTGTAACGAAATCTTTCCAAAACTGCAGCGAAAAACTAAACAATGCTGGTGAGACTTGTTTTACATGCGAATGGTTCTCCCACGTCAACCTTAAGCTTTCTCTCATTGTGAATAAAAGTCTGTAAAATAGTGAAGCAAGAACCAATCAGCAGCCAGTCGTGTTTGGAAAGGACAGTTTTCTATGTGGCCAGCTATATTGGTTGTGGTATAAACAAGATCTAGGTGACTATTTTTCTAACGATAGCTGTGCAATGCAAATTCGAAGGTAAATATTGCGTCCATCTGTTCTAGTCAGAAACGTATGGTTAAACACTATTGGTTAACAGTCACATCAAAAGTCTACCGCCTGACGTAAATTCCGTGGGCCTTCCTTTGTTTTGCTTTTCCTTTAGTTGTTTTTCAAATAACGACTGATAACTCAGCACTCAGGCAGGATAGCTTCAATTCCAGAGAACTCTCTTGAAAGCTTCGCTCGACTATAATTTACTAATGCACTACTCTGCTCAATTTCTTTTGCATCTTCTTTTCATTTATTTCTTATGATCCACTGACCATAAATCATCGAGAATCCGCCGACAGTTGAAAAATTTCGTAATTCATTTTATTTTTTGTAAGGGACCCTTTTAATGAACCTTTTTCTCCGAAAAATCGAAAAGTTCAAAATACGCCTAAATGGCCGGTAAAGCAATGAAAATTTTGCAACTTCAGCACCTTCGTACGCTACAACGCGATGAAATCCTACTTTTGAATTTTTTGTGCTAGCAGATGGTCCTTTTATCTCTTGGGAAATATTAATTTTTTGCTATCTTGTTTCGTTTAAGTCTGAATAGTGACCCGTTGAAATGAATTACTTCGCGTCTCTTTCGCGGAGGTAAATTAAAGGTCAACTTCAGTGGCCTATGAAGAGCTCTGCCATATATACCTAAAAATCATAATATACATCATCTAAAAGCTTTATTGTTGTATTTTAATTCCCCCAATTCTCTATCTTGGCTCGCTATAAGTGGCACGTCCAGGTTTGAAAGAGTTTGGGCTATTTTGTCAAAAATGCAATGCGAACCGCTGAACAGCTCTCATGACCCACTTAAAGGCCTTTAAAAAAGTCTTGTATGATATACTTACAAATCAAAATATATATCCTCTCTAAGCTTTATCCTTTTAGTTTAATTTCTCAAAGGTTCCTTCTTGGTCTACCTTAGGCGGGGCGTCCGGCTTGAAAAGAGTTCGGGCTAAAGTGACAAAAAATCTAGTGCTATCTAGTAAACGGTTGCCACGCAAGAGGTCATGTATTTGGTACACTCCTCGCCAAGCTGAAAGATTGGCCTTACCCTCTTACGTGACAGCCGTTCAACATACGAAGCTACTCAGAACCGTCACTTTGATGCCGGTGACCAAGAGAGGAAATCTAAGATAAGTAAATGAGGTTTTTCCATATGATGATGATGAAAAACGTACTTTATTGAAGCGAAAGTCATGGCTTCTATGATCTACATTTAACGGTAGGCTAACAATATATAAGAATCATATATTTGAACTGCGGTTACAGAAAGGCATACTTGGGAGAACGATCTTCGCAGTGAGGAGCACTATTAAAGCAATAGTGAAATTAAGACCTGAAAAAAACTCAGGCCTGTACGGGATTCGAACCCATGACTTCTACGATGGCAGTGCAGTGCTCTATCAGCTGAACTAACAGGCCAACTGTGAGCTGGTCATGATGGTGATTCGTGATAAACCCTTAAGATGATGAGTCAAATGCTAAGAATATGTGAGAATCTTATATTTGTACAGGCCTGAATTTTTCGGGTCTTTATTTCACTATTGCTTTAATAGTGCTCCTCACTGCAAAGATCGTTCTCATATGCATTTCACGGTATATTTATTATTATGAAAGTTATCTTGGTTCTTAATATTACCATACTCCATTGTAACTATTACTGCTTGAATATTTTTAAAGGCTAGGCGTCAGTCTAAAAGTGGACTACCCTTATTAAACCTTGCAAGATATTCTCTTATCTTTTTCATTCTGTCGAAAAAAGGAACAAAGAATAGATAAAGACTAATAAAAAGT